CATGGTATAAAGATTATATAAAACATGCCACGTGAGCCCTCTGTAATGAGCAGTCAGGCTTTGCCCAGTGCTTCCAACCAGCAAGTAGCAGCATGTCCTCAGTGGTTAGACTGCAGGAGCACTTGCAGGCAGGCGTAGTATTGCTGGAGGGCTTTCGCTGGGGGTACAGCTTAGTGAGTATCTGAAGTATTTACTTACCCACTCATAAAATCACCAAATATGTACAGGCCATTCAAGTTTGGAGACTCGCAACCCCGATAGACATAACCTCCCGTAACAGATTTCCCCATTTTGTGTGGATACGCGTAAATTGGAAGCACATCATCTGTAGAGAAGGAAAGATCTGTGACTTGCTTTGTTTTACACATGATGCAGAATAGCTGTTTATCTCGATAGTTCTGAGACTAGCACGATACAGTCAGGTTCATTTGAGCATCTTCTAACTAAATGAACTGCTGATGGAGTCATTTTTAGTTCGATTTTCACCTTTTCAGAACCATGTTCGATAGCCCTGTCTAGCTGGCTGTGCTAACCAAGGACAAGCTAGCTCAGAGAGACCAGTCAGTGTTTCACTTGCAGTATAAACTGAATCCCTGATAAGCCTGAGTGCTCTCTGTCACCCAGACACCTCACCGTTCTCCTGAGCCCTTCTCCTCCCGCTACAACCCAGCTCTGTCAGTGCCGCTTCTGGCCCACTTCTACACAGCCTGGCTGGTTTTGCAGGTTACTCATAGAGTCACTGCACCCATGCAGGAGATTTTTGCTCAATGCAGCTTTGTTTCGGTGGTGAAAGGGAAAAAAGAGACGGGTAACTCCAGACTGCAAGCACTCATGAAAAGATATGCCAGATGTCAGCGTGAATAGCTTCTGTTTCTCTGAGGCAGGGGAGCTTAACCCGAAAAGGGCCATCAAATATTTATGGTATGGCACAGGCAAGATGTAGTTCTGGCACATTAATTGTAAAATGCAAGTTAAAACACAAGACAGAAGCAAAACAGAGAGAAATGTCCTGATTTTGAGGGTCTCCATTGGATGCTTCCTCCCCTTTCTTTTGAAACTCTTGGGTTACAGGTTACAGGTATCTATCTCTTCATGGTACCCACCCCTCCTCTTCCTCACAGCCTTTCTCCCTGCCCATGTAGCAGATGCCTCAAGTAGCAAAGCCAGCAGCTCCACCAGTGGGGAACTTGCACCAAGAGCATTTCATCTAAAGCAGGTGTTTTCTACACTTCAGCTGCACTTACCATTTTAAAGGGGCTGTGACATTTCACTGTTCTAACAAAAGGGTCTCTAAAGGCATCAGAAATTGTTCCAAATCCCTGGAGACCTCAGTAAAGTGCTTGCCATGAACACTCATGCAGGCGCTGTCAGGCAGGAGAGCACTAAACAGGCTCTCTGACAACTGCTTCAGCAAAGGGAGTGCAAAAAACCTGCTCCTGCTCTCAAGTTTTTATAAAAAACACTTAATCACTACCACTGTACTTGTAGCTTAGTTAATAAAAGTAAGGAAGTTGAAACACCACCACATAGCATATAGAAGAGGAAAAAAATCAGAATCTCAGCTAGTACAAATCAGTGCCAGCCCACTGCCCCCCTGGATCTCTGGGGAGATGTGGTCCACATCAGACCTTGCAACACAATACACTCTGACTTCACATGTGCACCAGAATTTAGCCAGCCAGCAAATACCCTGAATCCAGGTTTGAAAAGTAAAAAAAAAAATTAAAAAATTAAGCTTTTCCTTTTTTGCATAGCTAAAAGAAATAAAACCACACTGTACATTCAGTTACCGGCAAAACAGGCAGTCTGCGTACCGGTTGGCCAGCTAACACAGTATGTTTCCTTCTTTTTTTAAAATAAGGACACTACTTCTGAGTTATGGAGAAAAATACAATTGCTCCATTTTCTTCTCGCTTCTGCAGGAAAGCTTATTTTATGTGGAAAAGAAGAAACTGTCCCCCAAATCACAGAATCACCAGGCAATTTGCCTAACAACACCTAGAAAAACAACAGCTAGCGCATTTCATTTTCCTTCTAACTCAAAAATGGTAACACTTGGACTTTCAATATTTATTCCCAAGTCAGTTCCCTTCTAGACTGAGACTGCATAGATTTACATCTCAGAAATATGTGTTTTCCACCAAGCAACCAGGCTTTGAAGGCTGGAATTAAAAATGACGACACAGAAAACTGCACGGTGTGAGACATAGATAATTTACAGAGAACAGCTATTTACCCATTGAAGAATTGGCGCAAAGTTTTTTATCGTAGCAGCTGAACCCTTCCCTCGCCCTCCAGCCGTAATTTTTCCCTTTCTCGACAATGTCGATTTCTTCGTATTTATTCTGCCCCACGTCTCCACAGAAGAGCCTCCCCTTCCCTTCCTTGGTGTGAGGTTCGCCCCTATCGAAAGAGCAGCGCCACATATTTCTCACTCCATACGCATAGATTTCGGGGCGAGCCTTAGGGTCGTTGAGAAATGGGTTGTCGGGAGGGATTCGGTACAGAGGCCCACGGTCGTTGTTGTTCACATCGATCCGCAGCACTTTGCCCAGCAGGGTTGATCTGTATTGGGAGAAGAAAGGAAAAAAAAAAAAAAAAGAAATAAAACTAGACCTCGGCTAAACATACCTTCTCACTCAGAGATGGGTTTTTGGAAAGTCCAGGGTTTCATTCTTTCTGGTTTGGAAAAGACAAGCCCTTAAATATCTCTGAGAAACCAACCATTTCAAGACCATTTCATTTGTCCCAGGCCACCGAACAGCCTTCAGGTGGCACTGACTTCCCAGGACCCACTGCCCCATGGACGCACGCTCATGGCTTGGGGCTGCCGTAGGGATCGGTCCACTCTTCCCGTTTCACGGACCCCCCCTCCACTTGCAGAAACCTGGGCTCTGAGCAGACAACTGGAAGGATCAGCGATTTATTGCTGCTCACAGGGAAAAAAACACACACCTCGATAACCTCCCCTAAGGAAACCGGAGTTACACGGGAGGTCTATATGCCCATGTGTGTGCACAAGCATCAGCGCACGCATTAGGTAAAAAGTAAACCCGAGACAGAAAATCCCCCCCCGATATACCTCCCCCAGTTTCTCTTCTCAACCCAAGGGTGACAGGAGGGACACACGGCGCACACAAGGTTTTAGGGGCTCTCACTTGTTCTGGGCGTTTCCAAAGGTCCCAAAAGGATCCCCAGCCATGCCTCCGTCTCCAGTAAAAATATAGAGATACCCATCATCTCCAAAGAGCAGCTCTCCTCCGTTATGGTTAGAAGCAGGTTCTTCTATTTCCAGGATTATCCTAACCGAAAACAGGGAGGAGGCATCACCTACTGCACAAGCCCTAAGCAAAGGGCAGAGCAATGTCACTCCAATGTTGCCCTTGACACACGGAAACGGCTACAGATCAGTTTTGATGCAAATTCCTCCATATCCACGTTACTGAATTTTACTTGGGCGTAACTTGAGTTTCTAACTTAAATAATTCCAACATATTTTCCAGATTACAGAAACACCAAATTGTGTAATAAGGAAAATCTGGGAAATCACATGACAGAATATACTTTTAATTAATTATACTTTTCCTCTGATTTTCCTTCCTCCTTGTTAAACTTCTTTTTTTTTTCTTTTTTTTTTTTAAAGAAAAGGCATCTCAGCTTAAATCCGATTGTAAACTGCAAGAGAAAGGACTCGTAGTCCATCTGTGGATCTGTACAGCATTTGGCACAATCCTGACAGGCGCTTTCAAGGTGAACCTAAAACTTTTCAGACATTAAGTAATAGTTAAATTCTTAAAGAGAGAAGAATCCTTAAACAATAATTACATACACAGGATTTTATGAGCTTAAAGAGTGGTTAAAAGCAGCCCCACCAACAAATTAACATTTTGACAAAGGTTATTCAAAGCAGAACCAACAACCTTTACCTTCATTTTAAAACCTAATTCTTTCTTACTTTTATCTGTTTATTTTATGCACCTGGCATCCCTTTCGTAGTAAGAAAAGGGTGAAATATATAAAAGTATAACTTTATAGAAAGGTAAAGCCACAAATACATGCAGTGGAGGTTCCCAGGTTTAATAACTGAAGCTTATTTTACCCCAGCTTCTAAAAAAGTCCAGATTTCATGCTGACAGTGCCTCTTAGTAGCAGCAAAAACAAATTATAATAATCACTTATACCACCTCGGTTTTAGCGAGTTTTTTTCCCTTCTGAAAGTACTGATAGTTTGTGATCAGATTGTAAATTGTGGGAAGGAACCCAACTATGTAATTATTCTGTCACCTGCTGCTAAACATCACCACTTCTGAGCTAAGGTAACTGCGCACGAACGCACAGACTCCAGCCGGCAGCAGGAGCGAGGGAGGATCCTGTATGGACACAAAGGTGAATCTTCCTCAACCTCCCAAAGAAGACGGAAGAAAACAAAACACATTGAGCAAAAATCTGCAGGCAAACAGACATACGCCTTCCTGCTAAGGCAATGCACACCACGTGTCGGCCGAAGCTGCCTCTTGGGCAGCCTCTCGGGATGAAGTCAGTGGGAGCCATGCCTACACAAGCACAACAGGACCACAATTTTGTTTTCTTAAGCTTTCGCCGTACTAACCATCAGCTAAATAAGCACAGAAAATGTTACGAACGTAGAGCCTGAGGATTTTTAAACAAGACAGCTCATGGGCCTTGACATCTGCAGGTTTAAGCTCCTGACCTGCTTTCCTGAGGACCACGTTTAAACTGCCCTTACCTGTCATCTACAGTGCTGCTTACACTGAATTGCTGTCATTGCTTTATAAACCAGCATCCCCTTTCTATCATTAGGCTACGTGCATTTTTGAGCTAGAATCATCCACTGCTGAGTATTTGGAAAGCCCTAATATAACCCACGTAACAAAGCAAAAATCTTAACATTAATAATATTTAAGGGTCTCTTAAAACAGTGGTTCTATTACATGGTTCTGCACCAGGTTATAAATCTATAGACTATCTCCACAAACAAACCTCTAATTGTCTGTACATATTAATGTGGATCAACTGCAGGATCAGACTCAAACAAATGAAATTTCCAATCAAAATGCACTCAGTCATAGCATAGTGAATTACATTTTTTTTAATATGATATTAAATTCATAATATCACAGGGTTGAGCTGTCATTCAGATAAAGAAATCCGTCTTTGGTCTGGTATCACTGAGTTTGTTTATATTGATTTTGGAAACCTCTGGCTTCATAATGAATTTCACTCATACTTTGCAGAAGTCTATTTTAAAGAGTAATAATTACAATACCAAAAAAAAACCCAACCAAAAACCAACCCCCAAAATACTAACTGTAAATCATGTTTAATCCATGTTCAGTTAAATCTTCTGACATACCAGAACTGAGAAATCTAAATGTTTTATCCCTGAGCACTCACAGTTCATCCACGGAGGAGAGGCATATTCTCTGTCTCAGTAAGCTAGACATGGACTCGGACTAACTTGCTACACACTGGAATGCAAGAACAATATTAAGGTAAATAAGTCTCATTCATTAACAGCCTTTAAAAATGCACAAGCTGCCCTCTGAGATCTTAAATACATTTGCCAGAGAAACGTGTGTACAATACCTTTCAGAACCATGGTCCAAAGCATTCATGTCAGCAGGAGAAATTCTGAACTCACTGATTCGGATTCTCTCTTCATAACGAACTTCAACTGAATAGTAGACATACACTTTACCATTAAATTTGAATTTAGGATGGAAGACAATACCTAGAAAACCTCTCTCGTCTCCTTCCCAAGGTGAGGTAAGTACGGCTTCGCTGATGTTCAGAAATGGCTTTTCAAGCCTGGATTGATCGGGGAGGTAGGTCCACACCAGGCCAACCTGCTCCGCAATGAAGAACCTGTGGGTGCCATCGTTGGCGTGCACCATCGCAACGGGATTGCGCAGCCCGTTGGCGACCTCCACAAGGCAGAGCTGGAGACAGCCCTCCGCGTTGGCGGTCACTAACCCCAGGTTTTGGTTAAGGTTCTGGTTAGACAGCAGGTGTGGAAAACAGTAGTCTGTGTCCTCCAAGGACAGGTAGTGGCAGAATTTTGCCATGTTGTTCTCCAGTGCAATTAACTCTTGGTCTGCAGAGAGATAGCGAAAAATGGAGCGGCATTTTTGCCACACTTGCAGACAATAGTCTTGGCAAAGTCCTGGTATCGTCCGCACGGGGGTGGAGGGATCCTCGGCGTCGTACAAGTGAGCTGCATATGGAGAGCATTCCTAGAGGGGGAGAGAAAAAGCCTCACGCCATTTCTTGGACCAGATTTGAAACAGCTGAGCAGCAATACTAATTGGAGAAATTTCACCTTAATTACAACATATGTTGTGGTTTATTCTGAAGATATATTAACAGAGGAAAAGATCTTAGAAAGGGGGATTATCTCAGCATTCACAGAAATTATCATCAATATTCCTGGTGAAAGCTGGCTTCCTCATGCTGTTATTCATTTATTCCAACCATAGCACTAACTCAAGAAAACCAGCAATGACACATATCTTGCTACATCACCCTAGTAGATGTACTGGGGAGAAAGAGACTTTTCTATCTTGGATGCTCTGACTTTATCTATGAAATAATGAGCAGATTCACAACAGCACAGAAGCGAAACCAAAGAGTTAGCTGAGAAGATTCAGGTCCTGCATCTCCAGGCTGAGGAGGGAATGAGAAAGGTCAGCGGGGTCAAAGCCTGCAACTTTCATACCTCATCATTGGATAATCCAGACATGCACCTCAAACATAGATGTGATTTACAGGTTGGAAGGAGCGGGAACAGAAAGTGTAGGAGGAGAGGAGGACACCCATCCTTCGTACCGCGCCGTGCACCCAGCCCTGGGATGCTATCACTGCATACACCATCCTTGCTTGTGTCCAGCTGCCTTTGCTGGTGGATCTTTGCCTACAGACATTTATATACCTGACTAGAAGAGGTGAAATGCATATCATGATCACGACACTGGTCACCAAGTTCTGCGGGGGATGCTCAGGCTACAGGATTTCAGACAGTTAGCACCAAATGGCCATAATCCAGGCAAGGTCCACTGGGAGCGGCTGCATCACAACCCTCGTTTATGGAAATCGCCTTGGAAATCTACCTAAGGACTGAATCAAGTTCACATAGTTCATTGTATTCCCCACTACGAGAACTCCGACAGGCACATTTTCCTTATGTAAAAAGCCACTGCAATCCAGTAAAACTGTCTGTAAATTACAAACTGACCAAAGTGACTCCGTTCTGCTTTGCAAGGGCTTTTCCTTGTAATAAACACACAATATTTTCCAGTTGTAATGCATCTTCCCGACAAGCATCTCTAAAGTGCTCTCCAAATAACGTAACATGACTCAGTGGAGGCTCAGTTATTTTCACAGGGCAGATAAATCACTGAGGCAAGAAAGGTAGGAAGAGGAACTATCCTTCTTGAATAAATTCTGCATTTTTTAATTCCTAGATGGCATTTCTTCCAAGCAAAACAAGCTTAGTTAAAAAAAAAAAAAATTAGGGAGCTGTTTCTAAATCTATAGGGAGCTATTTCTTAGTGCAGATTACAGCACTATTCAATAGCTGAAAAGATATAACATCTGAGATACTGAAGTATTTAAATTAGCTGCTAAGTACACACAATATTTAATTTTTATTTTATTTTCCATTACATACCATAATAAACTGAGAGACCATATAACAGATCATTAGTGCACAATAAGCTTTCCTCCTGGAATGTCAAGCCATTCATTGCAAAATGAAGGTTATTATGCCTTCAAATGAGCAGCAATTAATGTGCTAAAAAGGAGACTGCGCGTGACACAAAACACTGAAATTACACGGGCAGATTGGGTAACAGCACCCGGCTCGGTTACTCGAGGTGTGCCAGGGACAGAAAGAGCTGGAGCGTTTGCCGATGCAGTTGTTATGACTGAAAATTTGGCCTTAGAAAACAAACTGAAATGAGACAGAAAGGGAATGGGAAGGCAGGGCTGTGTGGCAGCTCAGTCCGTGTCTGCCTACGGAGGTTTCACATTCAGAGAGAGGAAGGCCACCGCTTGAGTACCGGGGTGTATCTGGTTCTCTGAAAGCCTCCTTCAGAGCAAGCAGTGATCTTAGGCATTATCAAGCAATGTCCTGGCTTCAGCATCAGAATTAAGAATAGCACAGAGGTATGGTTTCCCTGCCCCTTTGCTGCTGCGGGCTGTTCACCCCAGCCTCAGCTGTGTCTGAATAGCACACAACGTTGTAGATGACTACTTCACTCCTTACCACGTTCCTGGTGGCATAGGGCTATTTACAGTGGCATTACGCTGACAGTGATGTTCAGAGATCTATCACTATTCAGACAATACCCAAGCATGCGTCTAGGGTATTTTCCAGCCACATTTGGAACATCTTCCAGCTTCTATTCCACAAGAGATGGAGCCCGACTCCTTACCCTGAATTTCTCTGCTTCTGAAGCAAATGTTGTGGTCCTTCACCCTTCATATCGTCTTGTCACATTCACTAACTCAAAACACCAAGAAAACCTACACTCGGTCACAGCCCAGCATCACTAATAGATCTTAATTCTCATTTCCAAATGACATGGTCTGTTAATTCATTTTAAACTATGATGTGGTCCAAAGTCCAAGGAAACTAATGGGCAGATGATCAGTAACTTCAGTAGGGCTGGAACAAGTTCATACTATGAAAACTCATCAGAAAATAAAACAAGTGACATTAAGACAAGTTAGCCAAATCCATCCTATCTATTCCAGGAATTGAGAGGCAGCTATTTATTTGAGGAATTGCAATAGTCTGAATTTGGATGAACACCCACATCAAACAATGGCTTATTTACTGCTGCTATCAGCCTGGAGGAACCAATGGGACTCCTCAGGAAAGCGTCTAACTTTCACGTAATCCCTGACCTTCCCTGTCCACCTCCATCTGGAAACTCAAGCCTTTAAGCAAGCTGTTCCCTGAGAAGCAGAACGAGGCATCCGCTCTCCCGCAGTTTGGTGTCCTGTATCCCACCGCACAATAATCCACATCCACTTATGTCCCCTGAGACCTGCTGCCCCCATCAAATTACTGCCGAGTGTCGAGGCCGTGGGGTAGGCAGGGGGATGTCCCACCGCAGTCCTCCTCTCCCCCACGGCCAAAGGCATCCTCTCAGCCTGCTTCTGGGTGAGGGGAAACCCTATTTTGGGGCTGGGGGATCATGGGCAGCACTGAGGGAAGGATGTTTCTGCTCTTCCACTTGCCCCTCCACAAGGATCAGAAACAGCACCACGTAGCAAATCACAATTTAAGAGAAGGTAGCAATCCTCACCACAAGTACAAGCCGAGACACTTGTCAAAATAATTTGATCACATTTGAGAGACATCACAAATTGTGAGCAGAAAGAGACAGAAGTGTGCTGAATAAGTCACAGAAACACACTTATTCATTCAGGTCTAGGATATAAATTGTATATATAACAAATGAAGGGAAGCAGAGTGTTCTGGAGTGTTTGCAATGCCTGAACTTCCATTTTGTGCTTGTGCGGCCAGAGGTGGTGGTTTGTAGCCACAGCTGGGCTGGTGATGCACTGAGCTCATCAGAACATTTCAGTGAATCATTTTTCCCACACTGAAATATTTTGCTGCTTCTGAACAAATTTTCAACGGTCGGGTTTCTGATGTACGCAGGAGACTTACTTATTGCTTCCAGAGGCAGAGGGAGTGCTTAGCAGGCACTGCTAACTGGTTTCCTATCTGCAAATGGACTTTTGGACACCGCTTGTTTCGGGAATATATTCAAAGGTTTTTTGCTTCCAGTACAATGTGAGATGAAATAAAAGTCAAATCTCTAGAAGCTGTTGTGGAAAAGGGTTGGCTTTCTTTTCACGCTTTCAGGAACACAAGAGGTACCCTGCAAAATGCTAAGAGCAGGATTTCTGAAAAGCCACTTTGATCCCATCTGAGCACAGCAGACGAGACTCCACTGTCTGAATTAATTTAAGATTTACACTTGCACAGCACAGAGCTGCCACTGCTCTGTCTCAGGGGCATTTTCATACACGAGGCCACCGCCGATGACAGGGTCAGACGCTTTGCTCTGCGCAGACTGTGATCATCCTGTTATCATATCTGGCCACAGAACATCAACCCCGAGTGGAAATTTCCCCCGTGCGGGATGGCCGCCACAGAGGTTTCTAGGCCACATCCTCAGGCATTACTCTGCACCCGTCATCAGAACTGTTAGCACCTGGCACACGCTAAAAGCCTCTCAGGATGCTGTAACCCAGTATAAAAAACCACCTGATCCCATGAGCTGGGTGTAACAAGGAGCATGGTTTGGGCAGGCTGGTCCGCTCCTGGGTGTCTTCACCAGGTCCAGGGGTCTAACCCTGGCAGGGTGAAGGGAGTCTGCAAATCGCAACTGCCCACACACCCACCTCACAGCACTGCCGCTCATAAATTAAAGCAGAACAACATCCCTATTCCTCTTTCAAACACCTGCCAAAGGCAGAACAGTCCACTGGGAAACCTAACGATGGACAGTCGCTCCTGACAGTGCCTGGGAGCACAGGTCTAGGCTGCTGCACTAATCCCTGATGCACCCATATGTGGGCCAACGCATCTATGCCTGGGCCCGCGCGCTAATGCCACGGCTGGTGCACCTGTGTGGTGGTCCGTGTATGCCTGCCTGGGCCGGGCACTAACGCCACGGCTCACATACCCCTGGGCTGTCCAAAGCCCCTGTGCCTGTGCTGATGCAGCCCTGCATGGGTGGATGCAGTCATTCCTGGGCTGATGTGCCCATGCACCCCTGTGAGGTCCAAAATACCTGTGCCTGAACCAGTGCAGCCCCCCCCAGACCAATGCACCCATGCCTGGGCTGAAGCATCCGTACCTGGGCTTGATGCAGCCCTGCATGGGTGGATGCACCCATACGTGGGCCAAAGCACCGTGACGGGGCTGAAGCACCCATGCCTGGGCCAGAGCACCCTGCCTGGCCGTGCAGGGGCTGAATCCCCTGTGCGGCCGAGTCCCCCTGATGCCCCCTGTGCAGTGGAAGCCCCCCGTGCGGCTGAAGCCCCCTGCACGGCTGATGCCTTTGCGCAGCTGAAGCCCCCCGTGCGGCTGAAGCCCCCTGCGCAGCGGGAGCC